AACATTACTTAGCAACAACTGAAAATATCAGTGTGTTATTAACATTCTTCTCATACTGAACCCAAAACATAGCACTGTACCAGCTACTAGGAAGACAATTTACTCTATCCCAGCTGAAACCAGGACACACTGAGACCATTGTTTTTCTTCTCTTAACCCCAAGGGTAACAGACCTCATCTCTCCAGGTACCAGGAGGGGCACTCCTACAAACCAGAAGAGGAACAGATGCACCAGCCTTGGTAAAGCCAGAAAAAACAACCAGAGGGGGAAGTGCAGAGTTTCTTCCTGTGCAGGGAAGTGGATAGTAGCTCTGCTCACTTGGAGCTCACCAAAGCAGCTGATAGTGATTTCTGTCTCTGGATGTACGATGGAAGCTTCTCCCCTTTGGCTCACCTGATGCCTCATCACTTTGCAGCTCTGCATGCCAAGTGCTTTGTTAAAGTCTAGTTCAGTGTGTGGATGTACAAATGTTTTATAGGCCTGTGCCAGATCTCGTTCATGTGCCTGCTGTACTTCATTATGGAGCGCATGCAGTGCTGTTACCTGAGGGAAAACACTGCTTCCCTTCTCATCTCCTCTTATAGCCATGGCAGCTTTAGTTGAATAGCTGGCGGCTGCCTAATGAACAAAAAGCTTCCTGGAAGCTCGAATGTTCAAACAAAACTGACTTTAGTGGTCACCGGGATGGGGAAGTGGTTTGCACTGACCATCCTGTGATTTTTGACAAGACTGTGGTGGCCAGAGGGAGGACATGGGTGGTGCTGAGCAAGCTTTATGTTCCTCAACCTCCAGCTCTCATGCTAGGCCTCTTCCTCAGACAGGAGCTGTACTTTGGCTTACTGGAGCAGATATTCTTCTAGTGGAGGTTAAAAGCAGGGATTCCTCAGGCTATTTGTGCTTGTGGTTGAAGAATGATTTACCCCCCCCCAGCTGATACAAACCTAAAACTAATTTATCCTAAAATTAATAAAAGTAATCTAATCAAATTGATGCAAGCTCTTGAGTCAAAAATCTATTAAAAAATCAGATTACAAATAGATTGAGTTTACAAATGGGCTTCGCTGGCTGAATTTCAGACCTGTACGTAAGCATGTTCTAGGCAGAGTCTTCAATGCTTGCTCATTTAAAAGTGCATGCCTGAAGGCCTGTTGAATCTAGGCGGTGGGAGACCATCTTCTAGGGAAAAACATCAGCTGTTTAACTCCAGCTCTCTTAAATGGTCCGATAGTATTGCTGTGTCCTGTTAGAGTTAGAGAGCTGCTGCATTTTACCTACAGGTGTGTATGTCGGTGGTGTCTGCAATGCTGTGTTATACATCTGCATACAGTATATACACCTGCATTGCCAGTATATCCAGGCAAGTTCTGCGTGGTTTGGGGATGCCCAATGGCCTACAGCTCTCCTACAACCTTGTAGCTGGGTGAAGGGTTTGCTTGTGTCTTGGCCCTTCGTTATAAAGCTGAGGAAGAGTGAGTTTAACCAGAGGGGGTGGGAGCTGCACGGAAGCTGCATGTGATGGCAGGGGCCATCTGCTGCAGGCTGTGAATCAGGTGGGGCAGGGTGGGAGCAGACGGGGGCTGAGGTGTAGCCTGACGTGTAGAAGGCAGTGCTGGAAAGCAGGTCAGGGTTGCAGTGGGAGGCATGGAGACAGCCACGCGCAGGGGCAGTGTCACTGAGTGGATGTGACACCATGACAAGGGAGTGGGGCTCTCGCCAACTTTCTCAGGGCTTTGTGGGGTCACCTTGGACAAGGTGTTTCCTGCATTGCTTCTCCTCTTTCTGCTTGCTCTTTCTCACTTGTGTTTCTTGAGGCAAGCGCCATTCCTTTGTGTTTAACACCTAGCACAAGGACAGGTAACTGGAATCCCCAGCCACTGAGGTCGAGATCAGTGGCTTACCATCGTTGAGCCGTATGGATGGTCCCACTCTGCCTCACAGCAGTAAGGTAAGTTCTTTGTGGGTGTCACTGTCCTCCCCCACCTGTGATTACCCAAAAGGTGCGGGTCACTTGCCAGTGCGAGTGGCTAGGAGGCCAGCAGAGCTGTGTCCTGAAGGGCTCCTCAGTGTAGGGAAGGCCTCTGTTGGGGTACCGTTACAGTCCTGCACTAGCTCGTCAATAGGTGTTATCAGTGGGAATGTGTTGGGGGAGGAACACTGTGCTGGGCAGAAAACCGCTTCACTCACTGAGTACTTGAGAGGCCTTGGTAAATGCATAAAGGACTACACAGAGTGTCACCAGACTGCCTGCTGGAGCTCTGCCTTCTGCTGGGAGAGACTGTCACCGGCAATGTCCCGATGGGCACCGCCAGCTTCTGTTATTCCCTCCTCGTGTCTCCTCTTGTACTGAGGCTGCTGAGGAGCCTTGGCCCAGCCTGGTGCCTCGAGCCAGACGGCTGCTCTACTCGCCTCCCTGCTCTCTACTGTCACCTTCATGCATAAAACATCTCCCTGCTGACTGAGATCCCATCTCCTGGTGGCTTTGTCAAGGGAGCTGCAGGGGGACATAAAAAGTCCCATGTAAATCTCTGGCCTCTCATCCCTGGAAACTTTACTGTGCCTCCAGAGAGCAGCTCTGCTGCTGTTCTGCTCTTTCAGGGGATGACATTTAGCTGAGGCAGGACAGGAGCAGCCAGTGCTCTGCCTGCCACCAGCCTTCAGCGACCACCGCTGCCCTGTCCTCAGGGCAGGCTGTGAATGCTCCCTGGTGCCCAGTGTGGAACCAGGGGCTCTTCCTGCATGTGGTCACTTCTCCTGCGCCTGATATCTCTCCTGTGTGGTAGAAACCCCACAGGGTTATCTTCGGTGTCGTCCCCCCTGCCAGGATGGATGCTCTGAGGAAGGGAGGAAATGGGATCCCTGCATCAGTCCCGAAGAGACCTGCATGGGAACAGGGTGGCAGTGAATGTGGGGAGAAAGGAGAGAGAGCAGCTTGTGGAGGGCCCTGTGTGTGTTCCTGACCTTGCCTCGGCTCTGAGTTTTCTTTGCTCCTTCCTTAAATTACAGTGACATTCAGCAGCTGACTTTGAGGCATTGTATGAACATATGCAGGTGAGGAATGCCCAGGATCAATGCAAATGGAGAGCCTGCTCTTTCATTTAGAGGGGAAAAAGGGTGGGAGTGTGTCAGTTAGGATCACATGGCATTTCTGTGGTAGAGGGAGGACTGTAACCCTGTACAGTTGGACTAATCACTGATTATCCTCATCATTTGCCTGTGCTTGATGAGGAGTTGCGTCCTCATTCAGAGATGAGTCTTTGCTCATGGGACTGTCAGTGCTGTCTGCTGTCTCGGTACCTAGGTAAGTAAATGACATCATGGAGGCTTAAAAGAGGTTTTCATAGAGGTGGTTCTAGTTTGAATGAGTGGAGAATGTTTGTGTGGGGGCTGTACCCCATCTCATAGGGGTCACTCTGCACCAGTAGCTCTAGAGTAGGTGAGAAACCTCCCTGCCACCCCCAACCCATTGCAGTGGAGTTCAGATCATCCTGAGCCTGTCTGCGTGGCAGCTTATGAAGGCGCTTTGGGTCAGGAAGCTAAACTGTGCCCTGAAGCACAGATGGACTCCTATGCCATGGTGCCTGTTTGAGAGTGGTACCCTGGGGTGGACAGTGGGCTCAGAAATAGCTCCATTGTCCCAGTGAGACTTGGGCTGATGCCAGCAAGACTGGAGTGTGGTGAGCACCTCTGCCTGTCTGGCAGCCAGGCTGGGCTCCATGTGCTCTCAGGGAGAGAAGAGATCGCGGCAGGCAATGTGTTTGAGGGCCCGGGGGAGCTAAGGGGACAGGGGCCGGAGTTAGTGAGCAGCCCAGGATGTTGAAGTGCTCTGCAGTTGTTCTGATGGGGCTGTTGGTTTTGCAATCCTTGTTTAAGCTCTCCAGGCACGTGATGACCTTGGTAGCATGTGACAAATTTGCAGCCAAATTGCTATATGTGATGGAGATGCTGAACTGGGAATTGGTGAGCTGGATTCTCTCTAGCCCTGGCAGGGAGGGACAGGAGCATTGCCAGGTCAGAGCTGGGATCCAGCCAGCCCAGTATTACTGATGATATTATTCTTTACCAAAGAGCTGCTGGTATTAGTTCTTCCTGGTCACGAGCTTTGCTCGGCAACTCCTCTGCTCAGTGGGGAGAGGAGACCTTGCAGGAGCAGCTCATGAAAAGGATGTATGTATGGAAAAAAAACCCAAAGCACGTCCTTTCTGAGAGCGGATCCAGAGCATTGATGTTCCTCAGGCCTCAGAAGGGATCAGGACTTACAGCTGTCCCCAGAGAGAACTCCTATATGTTAATTTTACTATAAAGCCTATGTCAGCTTCTCACAGTAGAAGCTGGGGGACCAGAGGAGCGAATGCGGATCACCGTATCTGGGTCCCAAGGTCATCTCTGTGCATGCTGTTTTAAATATATGTATAAATTTAATAATTATTGTACTCGCTAATTGACTGCTTGTGCTGAGGAAGGCAGCTGGTAATGAAATGGCAACAGAGGCTGAATTTCTGGGAGCGTTGTCAATGTCCCCTGAAGGCATCAGGAGCTTTTCCAATGACAGAGTTTGGGGCTGACCTGTGGGGACCAGCAGTGCTGTTCTCCTCCAGCATTGATCCCTGTCCTGCTCTGACTCCTCTCCAAAGCTGCAGAAACTGCTCAGTCTCAGGTTCAACCCATACTGGGGTTCCTCCTGGCACGTCACTACCCACCTTACCTCCCATACTCTGCTTCACTCTGTTCTTTCCCTGGCTGATGGGGAGAGTGTATTTGCTCTGTCAGCAGCAGCAGCTTTGCCTTAACACTGTTGCAGTTCAGGAGAGAACAGAAATATCCTAGCTTTTTCACTAGCTTTTTATGGAGCTCAGTCATTCAGTTGGTGGTTGCAGAGTAGCTTGAGATCTTTCAACCTCAAGGAAGAGCAAAGCCGTGTCAACCTAGAGTGCTAAGACAGATTGTCCTTCCCCCTCTGTAGGCATTATTAACTCTCTCCTTTCCTTGGCTTGTCTTCCAGGTACTGAAAGGCTGCAAGAAACTGAACCTGTCTGTACATTCGGTGGGACGCATCCCAGGGGGCTATGTCACCAACCACATTTACACCTGGGTGGACCCGCAGGGCCGGAGCGTGTCCCCGCCGATGGGCCTGCTGCACCACCAGAACAGCTCCCTCCGCAAGGACAGTGAGAAGAGGAGCCACCTCCAGCTCCTGCAAGAGGGAGATGAGAAAAAGGTGAGCAAGGGGGATCAGCCACAGCCCTGGGGGCATGTAGATGCCAACCCTCTTCATTCCCCTTATGCTTTTCATTCATGTGATTCTGGCCTCCATTGGGATAGCCTGTCTCTCTTTTAGGATACACTAGATCTTGTTTTTTTCCCTTGGTCTGTAGCTTTCCCTCTGCCTCCCCCGAGGAGTCCTATAGGACAGGATGGATTGACTTTGTTCCCATTTGACACAAGTAGAACCTGAGCTGAAGACAAGGCATTGTCCAGATGCAGGCTTGTCTGGTGGTGAGGGTCCTGCCAGGAACAGCGGTCAAACCAGAAGTTGTTTGTAAGGCCTTTCCTGAACAGGTTGTTGTTTTGGCTGGAGGCCTGCTGCCAACATGGTCATTGAGAGGCTGACATAGGTGTTATGTTCAGGAGGGCTTGTGGATTTGGAGGGCTAGATCTCAGAGTGCATTACTGCCCTTCTTCCTGCTTTTCAGGTTTTTTTCAGGTGTTTCCTTGAGCCTTTCTTGGGTCTCGTTGCAGTTTTGTCTAAGTGAAAAAAAAAAAAAAAAAAAAAAAGCCCAGACAACTTTTCTCTTCCAAGAATGCTATAAAATAAAACAGGTGATTTTCCTTTTCCATTTGGGGAGAGGCAGGCTGAGCCAAGAGGGGCCTGAGCAGCGCCTGTGTAAAAAGCCCTGGCAAGTGAAAAAGGAGTGGGGAAGGGAATGGCTTTCATAACAATACCCAGGGGAGCTGGGGGTGTCTGGCCAGTGCTGGCCACTGCAGCAGGGCCTGGATCTTGGGCCTTTGAAAGAAAGGAAAGTATATTAGCACATCTAATTCCCAGTCCTCTTCTCTTACTGTGAGCCTGCCCTCCTTTGAAATAGGCCTTATTACAAGTGAAGCCAGCAGAGAATACGTTGACGCTACAATATCTGATCTTGAGGATTTAGTGTTTCTTCTCCCTCATGCTTCCCTTGCCCAAACAGGCCTAGAGACTTGTAGACGTGGAGGAACAGTGCTCAGATGCCCTTGCAGTGAGACACAGGCTGGAGGAGCAGACTCTGCTCGCTCTCTCGGTGGTGATGGATAGGGAACATCTTCATCCTGTACAAGCAGGACATGGTGTTGCCTCACTGGTGTTCATGGAATATCAAATTACTGTCATATGAGTGAGCAGGGCACTTGCTTCCCAAACGCAGAGTTGCTTGGAGCCTTGACATATTTCCATCCTGTTATCCTGAGATCACTTGGGCTGTCCCCAGCACTTTGACTGTATGCCCAAAATGTCCTCAGCTCCACCTGGAAAGGCTGTGGAGGAATCTGTAAGCTGGAACCTCCCATCTCAGCCAGAGGGGGAAAAAAATCTAATACAGGATGAGGCAGTTTGCTGATGAAATATTCATGTGGGCCACGAGGGAGAAGGGCCCATTATTTTTACTTTAAGGAGAAGAGAAAAGCAACCGCTGCTGGCTTGCTGGTGTCCCCCACCCCCTACCACTCAGTGTCACCTTGATACAGCAGGCAGTGACTCTTTGAAGCTGTAGGTAGGAATGTTTCTCTGCACATTGTTCCCTTAGTCCTTGCTGTGTATTGACATGAAATGCTTAGAAGCCTGCAGCTGTATGCATCCCTGCCCAGTGCCTGAGCCTCACATGGCCCCAGACAGCCCCTTCCCATCAGTCCCTAGGGAGATGTGATTGCAGGTGCCCTAGCTGTCTCTGGGCAGCTTGGCTGCTGCATGGGCCAGTCATCAAACCAAAACACCCTCCTCTGTGCTGCTCCTGGTCCCGAGCTCGTCAGGGCTGGCTCCCAGGGGGTGCACAGGAAAATAAATCCAACTGAACTTTGCAAGTTAGAAGAGCTTTAATTACCATAGCTTAATCTGCTTTGGAAGGGAATGAAGCCAAGTTGAATGAAGGCCACATTAAACTTCAAAGAGCATCCATGCTGGGCTTGGGCGTAAGTGTATCCAACAGCAGCCAAGGTGTGAGGGGGGGCCCCCAGCTCTGAGTCTCGCACTGTGGCACCATTCTAGCTGAGCCAGGCTGTGGGACCTTGGCTCACAGAATTGACTGCCCTTGTTCTGAGCTGCGCTTCTGTGGTGCCATTGCTTGTGATGCCTCTTTGTGGCAGTGCAGCACTTGCAGAGCACTGGGAAGATTTGCCAGCTTTTGGTGGGGTGCCCAGTCTTCATGGTGCTACCAGCTTGTGGCTTTGCTGGCTTCAGGACCTTTTGCCCAGGTATGAGGAGTGGTGAAGAACCTCCCGCTCCACCTGGCTCTTCCAAAATCTGAGCTTGTTCTTCCATTCCTTGGTGCAGCTTCACTCAGTCAAACAGCCACTTGACTTCTTGTAGTGGAGGATCGTGCTTTGACTCCAGGGCAGGGGGGTGAAGGCCCCTCTATTAACCTGGCAAGAGTCAAAGTCAGTTGCAGGAAATATTTGAAGCTCGCAGAAATGGGTGTGCAAAGATCTGATGCAGAGGGCAGTGCTGCTGGCATCATGAGAACAGGCAGCATTCAACCTTCTCCTGGCACTACTCCTCCGTGGCATATCAGCAGTGACATCGGTTACACTGCTGTTCCCATCGTGCCCCTCTGTGCCATGCTGGCCGTGTACTGCATTTCTAACAGAAGTTATCAGCTGTGTGTTGTTTCAGTCCTGGGATCCCCACACAGCTCTGGTGGTGGCCCTTGGCTCCCTCTGTTACTCCAGACTTGACTTCTTGTGTCACTCCAGCGTGCCTCCTGCTCCGCTGTAGCACAGCTCTGGGCACTGCCTGGAGGCCTTCTCCTTGCTCTGTTAATGGGCCTTTGTCCTTTCTGACCACAAGTATGATGCACCTTTCTCCCTAGCTTGCTGGGTCAGTGGTTCAGAAGTGCTTGCCGTGGTAGCTGTTAGCACTGGTGGGACCCGAGGTTGCTCAGAAAAGCACCCTGACTCCTCTGGTCCTTGCACTGCCTTGAGCCTGCCTCCAAACCCAGCTCCTCCTGACAGTCCTGCTCATTGGTGTCAATGGTTGCAATAACCTCCACTCCTGAATTCCCATCTCTGACCGGCAAAAGAATATTACTGGATGCTACAGCTTTTAAATGACCAAGGCTGCCCAGACACTGCTGTATCCAGAGGTGCCAGCTGACGGTGAAGGAAAGCCCCACCATGATCAAAGACTGGCTGGCAGTGAGGAGAGCCTGACCTGGCTGGTGGATTTGAGAGGGGTTATCTGGTGTGACTGCCTGTGTCATTTGTCTGAACACATGCTTCAGGGCATGAATTAGCTGAGTCGCTTTGTCCTGACTTACTGTGCACCATTGACAGATGAAAACATGTCCCAGCACATGGGAACAGCCTGCCTGTAGTTTTTTCTGGTTTTATTTGTATGTGTAGATATAGATATATTTAACTGTTGAAAGGGGGGTTATTCTGTTCACAAATATCATGTAAATAAATGCAACATATCCCTGGTTAATTCAGCCCGGTCAACCGGAATTGACAGGTACCCCCGAGGGCTATTTGATTTCTGGATGGTTTTACGTTCTGAGGGAAGGGGTGGGGATTAGTTGGTTATTTTTTCCCCCCTTCTCTCTCCTATTTCTAATCGATCTGAATGTTCTGGAATACATATGCAAAAGCTTTCAAACAGGCATCATTTGGGAAAGTACAGAAGAGATCAGACTTCAGCCCTACAGCAGGAGGCTAAAGTGATGTAAACCAGCAAGTTTGTTAATGCATTGCTACAGTTCAGTAAGCCTGCAATGCTACTGTAGTTAAGGTGATATTTCCAGCTTTTGCAAGGTTAAATTCAAGGTTGGTGGAGGCATCCTACATTCATCAGGCAATAGAGATATCCCTGTCTGGCTACCTTTCCCTCCAGCGCATCTGTTCTGTATGCCTGAAAGGATGGGGTTTGTAGCATAGTTTAACAAGTTTGCTTATCTGTAGGCAGAAGCATTCATTATCAAAAGGCTTGAAATGGAAACCGCTGCTGTTGGCGTGTGTGTGATAGGGTAACCGATCCGTCTGGCGGAGGAGGGATCTGGTGCATGGCTGTGTACCTTCCTGGAGCAGGCACCCAGACAGTGGGATGGTGTTGTGGAGCAGATGGGCTGGTGTGCAGCCAGGGTGGTTGGGCTTTCAGCTGACGGGTCAGTCTGACCTCCTTGGGTAGCTCTGCTGTAGCACAGGTTCAGTGCAGAAGGCAGCCAATGTTGCTGGCCCAGGGCTGGCACATTCCTTGCCCTTGGCTTTCTGTTATATTTTTGTGTGGACGCTGGGATTCCTTCATTGTCAGCCGCAAAGAAGCTGTTATGGGGCTTTGGGAAGTTACTGGTGGACTGTCAGCTGTCCACTGGCTTTGCTTTCACCATCCTGTTCCAGTCAGTGGTTCTGGGCCAAACTCCAGCTTGCACCAAGCTTGGGTCAGAGGCTATTCTGTGTGGATGAGCAGGAGGTGAATGCTGAGATCTGGGCCAATTATTTAGTGTAGACCTGACCTTATTTGAATGACATCTCATGAGAAGGCACAAGAAGGGATGTGAGAATTAAAGGGAATGGAGGGAAGAAGGAGGTGCTGGTGTGTATGCACCTGTAGTTGTGCAAGTTATTGCAAATCTTTACACTTTCCATGTCTGTGTTGTCTGTGGCAGAGATGTGTCTGTTGAAGAGGTGGCCATATTTCCCAAGTTTTGCTATTATATTGCTGCAGTAAGGACAGCCTTCCCTGTAGTTGTATTTAGTGGATCCAGTGTTTCATCAGAGCCCTGTGCCCTTCTTCCCCATAGGTAAAGTAGCCAGTGATGGTGGTCAGTAATAAGCATGAAACGAAGGGCTTGCACTAGTGCACAGCTCTGGTAAAAGACTGTTAGAGCCACCTGTCTCCAGCACAGACACAGCAGCAGGTCACAGTCCCCCAGCCCCATCCCAACAGAGGATGTAGCCTGCCTGATGAAAAGATGGGACCTGCTTCCCGTGGTCACCTTGTGCTTCAGAGCAGTTTGGTTTTTATGATCTGTCCAG